AAAAAAAAAAAAAAAAAAAAAAAAAAAAAAAGAAGAAGCTGAACTGTACGGTGAAGTTATAGCTTCCAGTCTGAGGAGTAGGTAAACAGATGTCCATTATATTATTCTGCATACTTTTTTGTGTGTATACAAATGTCTTACACAAATTTTAGTAAGTATGAAACTAAGCAGGATCCTACGGGACCCACCCAGGTACAAAAGTTCTTCCATGTCCCCTGTTTCTTGTTTGTAGAAGAAGGCTTTAGTCTCCTAGGAGCCTCCCCAAAAGCCTGGTTCAGAATTAATGATTGAAAGGATGTAGACATGTAGTGACAAAAATAGCAATTAGGCCTAGAGAACTGGTAACAATTTAAACAGGAAATCGGGACTTCCCTGGTGGTGCAGTGGTTAAGAATCTGCCTGCAAACGCAGGGGACGCAGATTCGATCCCTGGTCTGGGAAGATCCCACAAGCCAAGGAGCAACTAAGCCCGTGCGCCACAACTACTGAGCCTGCACTCTAGGGCCCGAGTGCCACAGCTACTGAGCCCGCGTGCTGCAACTACTGAGGCCCGCATGCCTAGAGCCTGTGCTCCACAACAAGAGAAGCCACCGCAACGAGAAGCCCGCGCACCGCAATGAAGAGTAGTCCCCGCTCACCACAACTAGAGAAGGCCCGCACGCAGCAACGAAGACCCAACGCAGCCAAAAATAAATAAATAAATAAACAGGAAATCAGCCAAATAGCAGTCACAGAATCTTTAGTTCTCCTTGAAGGACATAGATAACAATATCTGAGACACATTCCTGAGTTGTTTTGCAGATATTATAACCACCACAAGAGGAAAAAAGCTAACTGCATGATGACCAGACTGTAGTCATAATATAAGCTGCTCCATCCTGAGCAGTACTGAACCTATGGCTAGCACAGTTCCAGGGACTGGCCTCAAGAAAATGGCAACACACCGATCCTGGAGCTGAAGATTTACTGTGCTTAAAACAATCAAGATGACGCTGACCAGACCACCACATGACCAGTTTCAAGATGATGGTCAGAGCTGACTGTGCTGCTCTGCACATAGCCCCCGCCTGCATATCCTTGAAGCTCTCCTTTAAAGGCTCTTGCACTCTGATCTGGCCGTTGGGGGATGGTTTGGGGGACACTAGTTTGCCACCTCCCCAGGTTGCCAGCTTCCTGAACAAAGCACCTTTCTTTTTCCACCCACCCTTGCTTCTTGACCACTGACTTTTGAGCAATGAGCAGCCAAACCTGAGTTGGTTTCTGACTCCGGGGGTAACAAGTACAATGAACTGAAAACAAAGCCCCAGAAAGACGCAGGAGATGCCTTGGTGGCCAGATGCCTCAAGCTCTTTCCACCTCCTGGATGGATGGATGAAACAAGCATCAATCAGGACTAGAGCTTGGACTAGAGCAAGGCCCTCACCTCGGTCGCAAAATGTAAGTGCCATCAAAAATCTCACTAATCAAGATAAACAATATTTAAGGCAGTGTTTTAAAAAACCAAGCCAGCAAACTATGACCAAGGACCAGTGCCAGCTTTTGTAAATAAAGTCTTATAGTAAGCTCCAGCAAGCATCCAAACGCCGGCATCAGCACTACCAAGAGGCCTTACGGGTGCCCATAGCTAGTAGCCACGCCCCCTCCCCAGTCCAAAAAAAAAGACTGGCTCCCCAATATTTTATAATAAAATTAAATGGAGTATGGTCTACAGAAATATTGAAATCATTATGTTGTACACTAGAAACTAATATAATATTGTAAGTCGATCATACCTCCATTTTTTTAATTTTAAAAAATTTTGAAAGGGCTTCCCTGGTGGCGCAGTGGTTGGGAGTCCGCCTGCCGATGCAGGGGACGCAGGTTCTGTGCCCCGGTCCGGGAGGATCCCACATGCGGGCCCGTGAGCCATGGCCGCTGAGCCTGCGCGTCTGGAGCCTGTGCTCCGCAACGGGAGAGGCCACAGCGGTAAGAGGCCCGCGTACCGCAAAAGAAAAAAAAAAAAATTTTGAAAGACTAGCTGCAAAGGAGCTGAGAGAGATTGGAAAGGAAGATCGGTTCACGGCAGGCCGCTAGGGTTCTCCGAGACTCCGGAGAACAGGTGCGAAAGGAGCTTTCAGTGGTCCTAGTTCCCCATGGTCGCTCCGTGCCTCTCCGCCCCTCTCCCCGCAGCGCCAGTCCTCCGGGCTGAAGGGTCCTGCGACTTTAATCTCCAGACTCGGGGCCGCGCGGCCGGCCGTTGCCCAGGGAGACGGACGCACAGGAGACCTCGCGCGCCCCAGGCCTGGACCCGCCGGTGTCCCCTGCGCTGGCCGCGATCCCGCTTCCCGCCCGCCGCGGCCAACATGCACTCGCATCACAGCTTCAGAAAGCCCGAGGAGGAGTACGAGGAGGACGCGGCGGCGGCGGCGGACCAGGATGGGGGGTTCAGCGAGGAGTACTTATGGAAGCTTTTGGCCTTCGGAGATGGCAATGAGGAAGAACGGAAAGCCTTTCGCCCCCGCTTAGCCAGCGTAGTCAGCCCCAGCCTGAGCCCGACGCCGACGCTCAGCCGAACGCCGAGCCTGAAGCGGAGCCAGACGCCGGTGGCCAGCGAGAGTGCACTCTCCAGCACCTCCTCCCCAAAAAGTACCGCTCCCCGGCCCGCCCAGCCCGTTCCTCGAAGGCTTCCCCGTCCCTAGGGGAGAGCAGGTCCAACTCCTCTAGAGCCTTCGTCTACCCGGCAGTCTGTTTCCAAATACACACAAGACTTCACACACACCCTTATCTCAGTCCCTCTAGACACTGAAATCTTGACTGAGCGGTTGTGATGGCCCACAGTTGAGGATAAAGGGGAAACGCCTCGGCAAACTGGAAACAGGCAGTGCTGTACGGAGTGCTCATTTTATAACACTTCGTGCATTCAGTGATCGCGTCCTCTTACATTCATTCTCTTCCCCCCGCCGCCCCCCTCCAACGCGCGCGCGCGCGCACACACACACACACACACACACACACACACACACACACACACGCCACTCCTGAAGAAGGAGGAGTGCTTTAAGGGCGCTCTGCTACTGAAACAGCCCCGCCAAAAATAATAACTCACTTTTGTGCTTAACTTCCTGGACTGAAACCACTCCAGCCACTTCCTTAAAAAGAGAGGCACAGCAGTTACTTACAGTAGATTTGTCCATCTCCCAGCATTGACATTTTGGTCAGGATCATTCTTTGTTGGGGCCGCGTGTGTTGAGGGCAGTTGGATGGACTGTCCTACGCATTACAGGATGTTTAGCAGCATCCCTGGCCTCTACTTCTGACCATGCCAGCTAGCCCCTACCGGGCTTTGTGACAATCAAAACTGTCTTTAAACGTTGCTAAATGTTTCCTGGGGGGCAAAATTGTCCTTTTAAGAGCCACTGATTTAAAGGGAATGGCTAAATTGTCTAATGTTTCATTCAACAGGTTTTCCTAAAATATTTCAGACATTTAAGAAAGACATGTCTGAAACGAATTTAGATAGGTAAGAAATTGTTTTCAGTGTTCTATATTATTATTTTTTGAAGCTGATGATGTTTACTTTTGGAATAAACATGTCAGGAAGTAGAGTAAAACCATCCAGGGCATTTACAACCAATTTATTCAAAAAGGTGTTTTTTAATCTACACTGTTAAGACACTTTGGAGGAGATAGACGGGGTCCCTGCCCATCACCGGCTTATTATCTACCTGTAGAGATGACATGTCTACTTACTAATATAGCATGAAATCATAAATGCCATGCGCACAACAGTAAGTGCTATGAGGCTTTAGGACATAAGTCTCTATTGGCTAAATTCAGGAGTGATCAGGGACATCTGTGGTGGAGAGTGGAAAGTACGGTTTCTTTTTCTTGTTGTTATTGCTATTAGCCTCCAAGCACTTCTAACTGTAATTGGAAGACACCAGAGAAAAACATTTGGAACATCTTTATCAGTCTCCCCTGAAACCTCACACCAAACATGGGTTCACAATCTCACATTATTGTTCACCTAAGTTTTGCTTTTATAAGCAAATTTCCATTTTTAAGCAGAAAGGAGAATTGTTCTGCCCCACTAATATGTTTTTATTTATCCAAGTCAACATTTTAATAAAAGATAATATATGTACATGGTTAAAACATTAAAGTAGACAAAGCTATAAAATTTAAAATTTCTGTACCCTTCTCTGCTCCCACTTCCACTCACCAGAGTGAACATATTGTTAACAGTTTGTTTTGTTTCCAGTATCATTTAAATAGCATATTTTCATTCCTTGATTTATTAACTTTTGACATAGCTGCTGACTTCCCACCATGAAAGCTGAGGAATGTAACACACAACTTCCCTCCTCTCCATTTTCAGTAGTTAGATTATTTTTATATTTTCTAACCTTTAGGACTTTAAAGTATTTAAACCTCTACTTTTTGATTTATCAATTTCAGTAACTATTAACTCTATTTTGAAAAATTAACACCTTGATGCACTTTTACTTCCTTCTCTCTCTCCTCTCACCCTTTCCTCTCCCAATTAACAACAAATTGTGTAACAGACTTTATTAAAATATATAATATATAGTCCTATAAAGTCATATTACTTTACCAAGTTTTATAGTGTTTGCATATTTTGTAATTATAATTAGCTCTTAGTGCTTTGGGTACAAGTTGATTCTAAAAATTGAAGACCAATAACCAATACTCATAATTTCCTGCTAAGAACCCAATGATGTGACTGCATTCATGCACAAGAAAATGAACTCCTATGTCTGTAAAACTTGGCTCCTAAAAGAAGAACTTCTCAACTCTCAGTTGTTTTTAGTTGTCTTCAATTTTTCTGAGTTGGGCTCAACGGCCATACTTTCTTGTTTTCCATATTGTTTTCTTTCTTTTATTCCTTTTCTTTTTGCTGGAGAAACTCCTCAGGTAATTATTTCATAGTGATCTCATGGGTAGTCAAATTTCTGAGTTCTTGCCTGTCTTGAAATTTCTTCCTTTTGCCCTCATACTTTATTAATAATATAACCTGGCATAAGAGAATAGGTTTAAAACCATTTCCCCTCAGAGCTCCGAAGACATTGCTTCATTGCCTTCTAGTATCTGGTATTGCTGATCAGTCTGATTTTCAAACCCTTCTAATATTTATTTCCTTCCCTTCATTTTCTCTATTCTTTCCTTTGGAACTCCTACTAGCTGGCTGTTGGACTTCTTGGATATCTTCAAGATTCTTGGTGTTTACATGCTACGATGTAGCCTTTGTACAGAATTTTTTATGTGGGGATTCATATAATTTCCAAGAACCGACTTTTACTCTCTGAATAGGTGTGTGTGTGTGTGTGTGTGTGTTTAAACCTCTTTGAGGGTACTGTTATAAAATACTAAAGTTCTCCTTTGTTCTTTGTATTTCTTCTCTTTTCTTTCAAGATCACTTGTTCTGTTCGTTTTTCTTGGTCCTTCTATTCCATGCTATGGATTGTCCTTAAGTGACTGGTAATCCTTGGTTATCCAATTGTATTTATCAATGAATGACTGATAGATAGCTAAAACTAGGATAGGAGTCCTGCAGCCAAGTAGTTCTGTTTCCTGACTGGGCTGGCAGGGGAAGGTTGACTGTGAGTCCTGCGTGGGTGGGTAGGGCAGTCACAGCCAGCTTCCTGTGGGGTGTCGGCAGGGAGCAGGCAAGGTGGGTAAGCCCACTATTACTAGTTATGATAAGGACACTTTACTGTGTGGCTGGAGTTCCTCATGCGTTTCACCCAAGCCTGTTGGCTTTCACCCAAGCCTGTTGGGTAGGTCCTGAGTAACTCATCCTGCACTCTGCTTCTCTTTCAGACCTAAAACTTCCCCAGGCAGGCTTTTTAGAAACCAGTTCTTTGGGCTTCATCTGGAAATAAACACAACTGCTGCCAACTGCCCTGTGTAAGAGGAGAGGAAGGGGTCTGACTGGCCAGCTGTTCCATGTTCACTCCTTGAACTACCCTGATGACCATCTCCAGCCCCCTCCCCTGTGCATTTGGTCGAGTCTGGGCTAGGAGCTTCTCAGGAGTTCCCTTTGGAAGAACTTTACTTATGTCTCTTATCTTGAGCTGTGGTGGTCTCTGCTCTAGTTTTCCATCAACCTGAGGCCATTTATTTTCTTTCAAGGACTTCTTAAATATTACTTGGCTACTGATGACACCGCTCTTGTTTTCCAGGGCTATTGCTTGTTTTCCAGGGCTATTGCTTGTTCTTTGTCGGTTTGAAGTGTTTGTTAGTTCAGTAAGATCTTGGAAGGAAGGGGAGAATTGTATGTTCAGGTGCCATCTTGACCTGGACTTTCTATCATATGGGAACCTCTCTTTCCTAAATCAAATTCTTAATTTCTTCAAATTCTTAATCTTCCTAAGAAGATGCTTCTTCTGTACTTTAAAGCATTCTCTGGTGAATTTGGTGAGATTGTGTTTTTAAGGAAATCTGTCCTTAAAAGACACAGAAATGCAACCAATATTGGCTCAATTTCTACTTTTAATTGCCCTATTACTATTCTGGGGCAAACTTTAGGAGGCAGATGAACCTGGAGAAACACAGGTTTTGGAGCCCAGTAGGTCTGGGCCCCATCTGCCTCTGCCATGTTTGATTTTGAGAGGGCCCCCCAGAGCCTCGATTTCCTTGCCTATAGAAAAGGAATACTACCTGCTGTATAGCACAGGGGACTCTACTCGATACTCTGTAATGGCCTATATGGGGAAAGAATCTAAAAAAAAAAAAAAAAAGTGTAAATATGTATATATATAACTGATTGACTTTGTTGTATACCTGAAACTAACACAACATTGTAAATCAACTATACTCCAATAAAAATTTTTTAAAAAAGGAAAGGGTATACTAATTCCTACCTTGGTTTTTGTAAAGATAAATGAAGTAATGTAAGTAAAGCAACTACTATGTATCTACTACAACACAGTAAGTTCTCAGGAAATGTTAATTTTGTTCTTATCCTCCGATGTCGGCCATCTTTACACAGGATTTCAGAGACAATCTTTCATGTTGGTTCAAGGGAGGCAGAGACCTAGATGAGTTATGTATTGATTTTGTTAACTACTGTTTTGGGAAAACACTGAAATGTAAAATGTTGTCTAGGGATTGCTCGTCAATGTTCCTTTACCCTTGGTCCCATAACTTTTTTCCATGGGAACTTAGACAAACAGGACTCCCCCAGACACTTGTTCAGGTGGCTTCTGCAGAGTTCTCAACACACAATGTTTCAAGGAACAAAGCACCAAAAAAGGAAGGTGGAGACATAAGAGAACTGAGAAAGGTGAAAAAGTGACAATCCTAAAGTTGACGAAATTATTTGGGAAATTTTTGTTTGATAATTTTAGAAGAGCCAAGCAAATTATGGCAAAAAAAAAAGTGAAATTCAAAGAGGCAAAGGAACTTGAAAAGCAATAGGTATTGTTTACTTGTTACCAGTAACAGTCATTTTAACTAGTAAAAGTCAATAAATTCCTGCTTCCTATCATGTAGATGATAACTGATTAAACTGCTTGTGGAAAGAATACAGATTGCTTAATTACAACGTATTTAACTTCAGCCCTTTAAAAAGAGCTTGGATTATTTTAAAGCTATTCTAAAATGAACAACACGTTCTAATTTAAATTCAAGTAAATGTTTAAACACACACACCATCATCGCCGCCACCACCACCAACACACAGCACAGATAGAGGGGTAGTAATTTACTCCGTGAGAGAAATAATACAGTATTGGGAGCCTCCAGGATTGAGAGAGGAGTGCTTTGCAAAGAACAGATATGATGCAAACACACTGTGCCTGACCTTACTGAAGACATAAGAACGGAAGAAAATATTTCAAAGGAAAAAGAAATCAGGATCTTCTAAGAACATCTGTTATTTGATTGTTAAATGTACCAGATTTAGAAGAACTGCTAACAACTCTATAGGTATACTGAAAACTAACATTTTGTCTAAATTTCAGGGCTGTCTATCACAATCTGTATCCAAGAATTCCAACATCAGTACAAACAGAAGAAAGTTGGCTTCAAGAATTGTCAGGCGCGCAGCAGCTGAGTGAGTAGTTTGGTTTTTTAGCTTTTGCTGGGGGATGGGATTGTACCCTGGAAAGGGCACTGGTGTAGGTGGCCAGGAGAGCTAGGATTGAATCCCAGCCCCAAAACAAACTAACACCATGACAACTGGGCAAGTCACTTAACCTCATTGACTCTGTTTCTTTCTCTGTTGGCCTTAATAATCCTTCTGTCACATGACTGTTATGAAGATCAAAATGAAACTCAACATTTCAACTCCTTGGCACTGAGCCTTTAATAAATGGTAGCACCTGTGTTCACATCAAGAAATAATCTGCCATCATATTTTGAAACACATCTTTATTTTTCATTATAGAAGGAACATGTGTGCTGTTTTTTAAACATCAAACCATTAAGAAAAATATAATGTAAACATTAAGCTTTTAACTTATCCCAGTATATTCCTCAGAAGTGATCGTTATGAATAGCCTTTCCTTTCAATTTTATTATTTGTTTTATGTTGTATCATTTATTCATGAGATGTTTATTGAGCACACACCAAGCACCTGTCATAGGTCAGTTTCCTGTTCTAAGGTAACAGCAATGAATAAAGCAGACAAACCCCCTGTCTCAATGGTCTTCTATTAAAGTGTGGGAGGTGGAAGTAATAGTGAGTTAAATGATACAAAAAGTAAGTAAATACACAATATCTTACGTAATGTAAGTGCTAAGGAGGAAAATAAAGCAGGGAGAGGGATGGGAAATGTTGGGTAGATGGTTACAAGCTTACTCAGGATGCTGAGGGAAATCTTCACTGAGAAGCTGAAATATTTGAGTAAAGACCTCAAGGAGGAGAAAGAGTGATAATGATCTCTGGGGGAAGAGTGTTTCAGGCACAGGGAAGGACAAGGGCTTCCTTCTAGAACTAGGAGGCAGCCAGCTTGGCTGCAGTGGGGTAAGTAAGGAGGTGAGCCCTACGGGATAAAATCAGAGAGACAATGAGGACCAAATCTTACTCAATGAGAACGAAGTGGGAAGTCACTGGAGGGTCTGCACAGAGGAGTGACACAATCTAACATAAAAATTAAAAATTTGGGCTTCCCTGGTGGCACAGTGGTTGAGAATCTGCCTGCCAATGCAGGGGACACGGGTTCGAGCCCTGGTCTGGGAAGATCCCACATGCCGCGGAGCAACTAGGCCCGTGAGCCACAACTACTGAGCCTGCGCGTCTGGAGCCTGTGCTCCGCAACGAGAGGCGGCGATAGTGAGAGGCCCGCATACCGCAATGAAGAGTGGCCCCCACTCGCCGCAACTAGAGAAAGCCCTCGCGCAGAAACGATGACCCAACACAGGCAAAAATAAATAAATAAATATTTTAAAAAAAAATAAAAATTAGATGTATAATTAATATTAAATATTAATATAATATTAAACCTAATATTAAAAACACGTTGATTATTCCCAAATTAATCTATATATTCAATGTAATTGTGATGAAGTTTTTCAATGGAGTTTGACAAGTTGATTCTTTGGTCTTGCTCTGCAGCGTTCAAAGATAAGTTGAGGCATTTTCCAATTTTTTTTTTTTTTTTTTTTTTTTTGCGGTACGTGGGCCTCTCACTGTTGTGACCTCTCCCGTTGCAGAGCACAGGCTCCGGACGCGCAGGCTCAGCGGCCATGGCTCACGGGCCTAGCCACTCCGCGGCATGTGGGATCTTCCTGGACCGGGGCACGAACCCGTGTCCCCTGCCTCAGCAGGCGGACTCTCAACCACTGCGCCACCAGGGAAGCCCCTCCAATTTTTAAGAGTTTATTTGAGCAGATGTGGATTGGAAACAGGCAGCGCCAAACCAGAAGTGGTTATGTCCACAGACAAGAGCTAAGGAGAGGTTTTTATAGAGAAGTCGTGGGAGCAAAGCAAGGAAATCATTTGACTGGCTATTGCTCAAGGTTGCATTACAGTAGGTCACCTACATACGAACGAGTTCCATTCCGACAGCGTGTTCGTAAATCCAATTTGTTTGAAGTCCAACGAAGTTAGCCTAGGTACCCAACTAACACAATCAGCTACATGGTACTGTACTGTAATAGGTTTAGAATACTTTTCACACAAATAATACATGAAAAGCAAACAAAAAAACATTTTTAATCTTACAGTACAGTACCTTGAAAAGTACAGTAGTACAGTACAACAGCTGGCATCCAGGGGCTGGCATCAAGTGAACAGGCAAGAAGAGTTACTGGCTGGAGGAGGGAGACGAGGTGGGAGGTGGTAGAGCTGAAGGATCGTCAGCGATAGGAGACGGAGGGCAAGCTGCAATTTCACTCACACCTGACGTGGATGGCACAGGTTCTGGTTCCTTGCCAGATTCAGTTCTATCTACCCTCTTGAAAATAGGATCCAGTGATGTCTGGGTAGTAGCTCTTTTTTTCTTGTCATAGATGACATGGTAGCACTGGATTGCATTCTGAACGGCCGCTGCGACCTTCGTGTACCATCCTATGCCTCAAAAGCTAACAGCGCCTCCTCAAATAAAGAAAATCCCCTACCATCTCCTGCGTCATGAATCTCTTCGGTTCTTCAGTTACTTCTTCCTCTTGTCTCTCTTCATCCTTTCTCTGGGCCTCCAATTCCATCAGGTCTTCATTAGTAAGCTCCTTGTGTTGCACAGCCAACAGTACTGTACACTAAAGTACACAAGAGCACAACCACTTGTAGCGGATGCACGCACGTGACAATGTACGCCAGACACGTGAACTAATTTATGTGACTGGACGTGGGAACGCACGTTCGTATCTTTGAAAGTTCGCAATTTGAAGGTTCGTGTGTAGAGGATTTAACTGTATTTGGGAAAAGCCCGGCTGACTGTTTGCTATGAGCTGTTCTTAACCTTGAGGCATCAACCTTGAGGAATTGACTCTGGCTTAGGTTTCGCTTTGCTTACAGTTGGCTACCAAGGCATTAGAGCCCCCTCATCTAATGGCTTCCTTGTTTGATTACTTTAACAGCAGGAACCTAATGTACCTTTTCAATTTTTTCATATCATTTTCGTAGGTTTTTTTTAATAGAGAACTGATATGCACCTCTTATTAGTTTATTCCTAGGTGTTTTACAGTTGTCTTTTATTGATGTAATAACTGGAATCTTTTTTTCCTATTATACTTTCTAATTGGTCATTGTCAATGTATAGGAAAACTATTGATTTCAATGCATTAATTTTGTATCTGATTCCCTTGCTGAACTTTCTTATTTTAATATTTTATCAGTTAAAAGTCCACTAGACAATTACATTTCCTGTGAGTAACAGCAGTTTTATCTCTTCTTTAATTTTTTTTACTTAGCAGTGTATCAGGGACATCTTTCCATGTCAGGAAATATTGATCTAATTCCTTGAAATGACTATGTAGTATTGCCTTATATACCTACAGTTACTGTGACTTATGTAATACATCTGATTGTTAGATGTTGCAGGGTTGTTTGGTTTGGTTTGGTTTTGTGTTTTGACCTCTTCCCTATGACAAATAATTCCTTAATGAAAGTCTTGTTCATTCGTTGTTGTTGTTGTTGTTTTTTAATACCTGTGCTTGCATTTCTGTTGGGCAAAATGCCCAAAACATATTTTTAAATTGTTCAGGTACTCAACATATGAAGTAGGTCATCTTCTGAAGCCCATCTCTTTCTCCAGCACCAGCCCTGGCTATACAGGGAAAATGGGTCTGCCCTCTCCCTTTACCTCTGTCTCATTGTAGGTTGTTCTGATTGGTTTTTCATCATCCCAGTCCTGTCTGCTTACCTTTCCAGACATTTACTCCAAGCAACTCGTGTGTTGATAGATGGCTGTCTTCCCCATTTCCAGTATTGCCCTGGAATCTGCAGAGGGAATTATTCTGGTGGTTTAGTTCACTGTCTTGAAACGGGAACCGCCCTCTCACCCCACGCCAGCACCCTTCTCCCTGAAAAATCTTTTGCAGAATAATAGTCATAAATTAGACAGAATAGTAATTTTAAAAGGGTCTGCAAACTATGATTATAATCAAATAAAATATGCATTCGTGTAGCATTCTAAGACTAAAAAGAAGCAAGGAAGCATTTTTTAATGTGATTCATTAGTGGTGAGTCTTCTCTGTTTGTTACTTACTGTTGACAAAATGTTATTTGGGAAAGGGCAAAAAATTTAAAAAATTAAAAATAAAACACAAAAAAGGCACTTATTTTTCCAAGAGGCAAATTTTCTTTTCTATTAGACTTCTTTCATCCTTTGTCAGGATTGATGACAAATGTACACTCTTTTTACAGAGAAGGAAGTGCCCTCTGTAAAGAAGGAAGATGAACCTGAAAATCTAGCTTCTAAATTAAGAGGTAACTGGATGTTTGGCATCATCCGCTCCGCTGGCAAAGGCAAACTGCCCTTAGGGAACCAGCCTTAACTTGTATGGTGTCCAACCCCTTTAGAAAAGAGCTCCCCTAAGAGTATATGCAAGAAGGTGGTGAAGGTAGGTTTCAGGGCATTTAGACAGCGTGTGTGTGTGTGTGTGGTGTGTGTGTGTGTGTGTGTGTGTGTGTGTGTGTGAGTGAGTGTGTGTCATGGGCTAGGATCTTCAAACTAGAGAAAATGGAATACACCGCACAAAGTTTTCAAACATTCCTTCTAAATCTGTCTTTTTGTCTTCAGCAAAATGGGTAATTAACCCAGAAGAGCCAAAACTAAATATTTTATGTGAGCTGGAGGTAAGAAATGTTTATCAGTCCAACTAGTTCACTGAACTCATGGTAAAAATCACTTATTCAATCTTCAATATTTTTCTTTCTCCCTCTTTTTAAAATTTAGTTTAAGGAAGACTTCATAACACTTTTTGAGCCCTCTCTGAGAACACTACCCAGCATCGGGCCACCATCTATTCTCACATTCAATCAAGAGAGCTCCAATTTAGGCATTAAGTTCAAGGTAATTTTCATTTATATTTCTTTTTGCTTTTACTTTAATGAATGGTATAAAAAGCCACATGATGATCTGCACAAAAGACAGTGAACATACTTTTACAAAAAAAAGGCAAGGAGCTCATTTACTTGGAATAGCACTTAGGGTGGCTGTATTCGTTTCCTATGGCTGCTGGAACAAAATACCAGAAACTAGGTGGCTTCCAGCGACAGAAAAGTATTGTTTCACAGTTCTGAAGGCTGGAAGTCCAAAATCAAGGTGTCAGCAAGTCTAACCTGGAGGGGAGAGTCCCTCCTTGCCTCTCTGAGCTTCTGGTGGTGGCCGTCAATCCTTGGCATTCCTTGGCTTGCGGCTGCATCGCTCCAATCTCTGCCTTGGTTGTCCCAGGACGCTCTGTGTGTCTCTGTCCAAATGTCCCTCTTCTCCAAGGACACCAGTCATATTGGATTAGCGCCCACCCTAGTGACCTCATCTTAACTTGATTACATCTGCAGAGACCCCGTTTCTAAGTCAGGCCACATTCACAGGTACCAGGGCTTAGAAATTCAACAGAGCCTTTGGGGGAGCACAACTCAACCTATAACAGTGGTCATAAAGCCTGGCAGCACAGGTGAACATTAGCTGTATTGGATCACATTAAGTGACCAATTAATGTCTGCATTCAATGGGCAAGGGAGAGGTCACCTTAGTAATTCCAACAGGATACAAACCACCCTGCTTTGCCACAGAGGTAAGGGACTGACCGGTGGTATGATTATTTCCAAACTTGCACGGCATGGCCATGTGGAGAGAGCTGCACACACCCCAAACTGGAACCTCCTTGATTACTTCTTTTGGGGTACACTAAAGGTACAGGCTTATTCACTGAAATCTAAATTTTATGGACTCTTCAGGCTGAAATTCTTTCTTCAAACATAACACCTTTCTTTTTCTGAAGCACAAAGGCTTGTATCCAGAAAGTTTCTTGATCTCTCTTCCCCTGACACCCAGAGATGTGCCTGAACATGAGGAAGGCCCTGGGGACTTCCTTCCACAGAGCTGTCCCTACACCGGCCCCTGGACAGGGCTGGCTCCACCTGCATCCCTGGGCCGACCTTTCAGGTCTTCTGAGATGGGCCTGGACACTGGTCTAGTTCAGGGGCAGCAGCAGCTGGTTGGCCAGCTCTCCTCTTCAGCCACACCCTCTTGAGGTGGAAATTCCAACCCCACTCATGTCTTTTGAAGCATCTTTACTTACTTCGCCCCCAGGTGAAGGGGTGAAGGGGTGAAGGGGCCATGGGCGGGGGAGTTCACTACCGAGATGCTGGCGGCACAGTCTGTAGCTGGCCTGGCGTTGCCAAGCTCTTCCTGCCCATTCCATCATTTGGTAGCCGTCCTGGATTCGTCACCACCACCTCTCTCTTACAAGGCTTTCCTCCCTGAGTGTTCTGCTTCCAGCGACGTGCAGTACTTATTATCGGGTACTTTCCATGGCCTAATTATACTGGACTGTACTCTAGGGTCCCTGGCTGCACCGGCCATCTCAGTCACCCTTTGGCCCCATGGCGGTCATTTTGCCAGGCTCGGAGAATGGTTTCCATGGCAACTACAGGTGCCCTGCTGGTTTCATGACATGCAAGTCATGATCTGGGTCTTTTCCTGGAGGCCTGTGCCGAGGCTTGGCTGCTCACCTGCCAGGAGCCTCTGCAGTCAGCCATGACCTCAGATCACTAAGAGGGCCATAGTGCATCCACCCCTCACTGAGTCACCTGCGCCTGTAACTCCCAGCCTCCTCTTGCGTCCCCTAGCCTCCCCTCCCCTCCTGGATTACCTTCACAGCACAGACAGGAGAATGTGGTGCCCCAACTGCGGCTTCCCTTGAGAAAGGACTCTAATTTATTTTAGAAAGTTGAGCATTGTAAACAGTGGCCTACATAGTAATGTCAAGACTTTTTCTTAGCTGACACTTCTTTTTAAATTTTTATTTATTTTTTTTATTTTTTGCGGTACACGGGCCTCTCATTGTTGTGGCCTCTCCCGTTGCGGAGCGCAGGCTCCGGACGCGCAGGCTCAACGGCCATGGCTCACGGGTCCATCCGCTCCCCGGCATGTGGGATCTTCCCGGACCGGGGCACGAAACCGTGTCCCCTGCATCAGCAGGCAGACTCTCAACCACTGCGCCACCAGGGGAGCCCTTAGCTGACACTTCTTGAAAGAGTTTATGGTATTTAAACACCTTAGACCATTTACACAAAATCAAATATGTGTTATCCTTTATGTCCCGCATCTAGTCACACACTATACATCCCCCTGCTCGACAAGGGACACTGATGTCAACAGTAAAATCATTACTGCAACTTTCTTCTTACACTGAGGAGGCATCCCAAGGACCCACAGAGCTCCTGATGGGCTCAGCTGCACCCCAACGAGCTGCACCAGACAGAGGCCTCCAAAACACCACTTCAGCCTCCCCAGCCCTTAACAGCCCTTGAATAGAAATGATGTCTCATTTCTGGAATATACAGATCCTGCTGGCTTGATGCCTTCTGATATAGGATCTCAGACCCCTGAAAACTCCCTATTAACCATCGCTGGGAGCCCTCATGTTGTCTGACAGGAGTTCTCAGGCAGGTTTGTACATCCCTCATCACCCCTGTTGTCTGACTGGACATTCGCTGGCCCTGTCCAGGGCTCTGGCTCCGCCTGCTCTGAGAGGCTCTGGGCCTCCTTGTGGGCATGTCTTCATTTTTTTTCTCCTCTCTGAAGAGAGAAGAGGAGGAGGTATCGCCCACGTGTGAATTCTGTGGGAGCGATCTAAGAACATTTCTCTCCAATGTGGATCTTTCCTGTGACTACAATAGCTCTGAACTAGTAGAACATGTAAGTTCTAAAGCAGGTTCACTGAGGAAATAGTGTTACTTTTAGACACTAATTTAAGCATAAGTAGTATTTTCTTCTGCATCTTTCCGATGCATTCCCTTTCTTTTTCTTTCTTTCTTTTTCTTTTTTTTTTTTTGGCTGCACTGCGTGGCTTGTGGGATCGTAGTTCCCTCACCAGGGATCGAACCTGGGACCCTGGCAGTGAAAGCCCAGAATCCTAACCACTGCACTGCCAGAGGATTCCCTGCATTGCCATTCTTAAGAGAGTTATGTGTTAGCCGTCAGGGCAATGCAAATCATGACCACAATGGGATACAATTTCACACCCACTAGGATGGCTATAACCCAAAAGACAGATAATAACAAGGATGTAGAGACACTGGAACCCTCATACACTGCTGAAGGGGAATATAAAACGATGCAGCCGCTTTGGAAAATAGTCGGGCAATTCCTCAAAAAGTTAAACATACAGATACCATATAACCCAACAAACAATTCCATTCCTAGGTATATACCCAAGAAAATTAACAACATATATCCACCCAGAAACGTGTATACAAATGTTCACAGCAGCATGATTCATAAAAGCCAAAAAGTGAAAACAGCCCAGACATTTATCAACTGATGAAAGGGTAAATAAATGCGGGGTATCCATACAATGAAATATTATGCAGCCATAAAAAGTAGTGCAGTACTTACACATGCTACGACATAAATGAAAATATTATGCTAAGTGAAAGAAGCAAGTCACAAAGTACCACATGTTGTATGATTCCATTTATATGAACTGTACAGAACAGGCAAATCTATAAAGACAGCAAATAGATTAGTGGCTGCCAGGGGCTGAGAGGAGAGGAGAATAAGGAGTAACTGTTAATGAGTACAGGTTTCAGTTTCTAAAATTGATTGTTGTGATGGTTGCAAAATTCTGTGACTATATTGGGTTGGCCAAAAAGTTCGTTCGGGTTTTTCCTACAATGTCATGGAAAACCTGAGCGAACTTTTTGGCCAGCCCAACACTAAAAACCATTGACTTGTACACTTTAAATGGGTGCATTGTACGATATGTGAATTATATCTCAATAAAACTGTTACCAAAAAAATGTTACGATAGATTGTTATCCAAAACCCCATTACCATTTTTGGGGGGTTTTTCCCTCCTGTAATTATCATCTAGGACTGATGAGATGAAAATGAACTCTGTTTTTCAGACCTCCTGTTGTAGTTATTTCCAAAACCTGATTGACTACATCTATGAGGAAAAACAAAAAATCCAAAAAAGCTCTAAAGCTGAATTAATCTGTATTGACCCTCATGCCGCCCATGGCAGTGAAGTCGACAGACTCAAAGCAAAGGAAAAAGCTTTGCGGAGGTAACAGTGAGCCTTTGATACTGAAACTCAGATAGGCCCACTTAGTTCGAGAGTTTTTTGTAAAATGAGCCTCATTTTCTCAAAATAGATAATTTTGAAGATGCATTCCCAGTGAAGAAACAAAAATTGGCCAAAGCAAACCTATTGCAATTCCTGGTGGACACTGTAAGAGTCAGAAGATTTCAGAAACTCAGTGAACTCACTGACTTAGAGTAGAAATTTGCCAACCCCAAATTCTCAGGGCAATTCAGAATTCCTATATTGGAGAAATCTGTCCACTAAATACAGTAGAAACACACGCACACTGATTAAATGACTTGATTCACAAGTAATGACAGATAAAAATAACAAGGAATAGCGTTTAAACAGTAAAGGTTTATAGTATACTGTTTTAAACTTCCAACATATTTCAGACTTATGCATCATATTTTTTGATTTTGTAGAAAACAGGAGCGACAAATGGCCAAACACTATGCATTATTAACAAAAGGACAGACTACTTTCTCTGAAGAAGGTAAGTTCCTTAACGCTGATGTTATCAATCAGAAAGCTCATATGTTTGACCAAGAGCAAAAATTGACATATTCCAAAAATAACATTTAAATTTTTCATTTTGGTCAATACATCAGTCAAAATGGCTCAGAAAATCCCGCTTTTCCGTCATCTGGCTTTTGAAGTTTTTAGTCTTCAGCTCACTGTTGTTATTGATTGAAATAAATTAGCAACATCTATAGGGCACTTTATAGCTAGAAAGTGCTTTTGAGTCCATTGTCTCTCATTTTATCAAACATAGATTCCATTTTGTTTCAAGCTAGGATATGGAAAATCTGTCAAAAATAAATCAGATTCCTTTCTTATAGGCAGGCCCCAGCGGTCAGCTGGCCAGTATAGCTGTAGTACTGGTACAACTGAAGGGGCACCGATTTTAGAATCAGAAGTTCTGGATTTATGTCCTTGCTTTTCTCCTCATAGGCTGCCCAATTGGAGATAAATTACTTAATATTTCTGAGCATCAGCCTCCTCCTCTATGACTCAGAGCCATTGAAAAGATACTTAGAGAAGATTTTTTTTTTCAACAAAACCCCTAGTATAAAATTCCTTGGTATTCAACTGTTTTCTACTAAACCTAAGGCCAGAAAATTCCACATAATGAAAATCATCATTATTTTTCTTTCAACCAAATGAGAATTTCTCATTTTTTTAAACAAAAGAGGGAGGTCCTCATTTTTCTTCCATTAAAAATATGTCCAATGAATCCATGCATCCGTAACAGAGTTTGAAATTTCATTTTAGAAGAGAGGTTTTGGAAAGTTTTAAACATCATATATGTATTTCATGTGATTCTTTTCCCATTAGATGCAAAGCAGTTTAAAACAATTTCTTATCAACTTTCCACGGATATTCCAGAAGTAGAGTCAGCTAAGGAAGAACTAACTGATTATCAACTAGACAAAAGAAATATATCCATTGTTTGTTGTGATTCTAGGACAGCATGTGGAAAGGTAATTAGCTTGTAATTTTTTTTATTTGCTACTCTTTAAAAATCAGTTTTACCTAAAATTATAAAAGCTGTCATGATGAATATGGCAGCGTGGCTACATGACACATTTAACTATTTGTCAAAAAGAATTGGTATGGACTTGGCCTTTTAACTTATACTAGACATTATAACAATGCTTTACATATGTTTTATGAGGGAGTATTTTGGTTAAAGCCTTTTTACTTTAAAATGTGATCAGTGTATAGTAAGGAACATTTGGAGCCCTTTAGAAAACTAAAAAGAATGGGAGAAAATCATCAGAAGTCTCACCCACATCCCCAAAATCATTATTAATATTTCAATATTATCTAGATCTGCACTGCCCAATATGGTAACAAACACTCCACGTGGCTATCCAAATTTAAAATAATTTAAAAACTTATTTAAAATAATTAATATTAAATAAGTAAATAAAACATAATTCTTCAGTCATGCTAGCCACATTTCAAGTGTTAAATAGCTGTGTGTGACTAAAGGCAACCATATTGCAGGGCAGATATAGAAAATTTTTATGGTCACTACAAGTTCTATTAGACAGCACTGTTCTAGAGTTTTTAAGCATAGTTTTCTGTTAAAACACTTGTAATTATATTACACATGTAATTTTTATCCCTTTAACTTATTATCAACAATTTTTCCATGATATTACATAGCTTACATTAACATCATTTTAATATCTATGTGCCTTTTCATACAGTTTAACCATTGCTTTCAATATCTTTGTGTATAAATTTACACTATACTAAATATAGTTCCCCAGAACAGATCCCTAGAAATTAAACTCCTGAGACCAGTTTTGTTTCTCCTGGGTGATACAGAACTTAAGGCATGGCAGTGAACTGAGGTTCTGACTGAATCAAATCCAAATCCTGTCTGAAGGAAGGTCGCTTATCTAGCCCTGAAATCACTCTCACAAATTATCTTTCAAGTTCAATTACCAGCACACAGTGAAAAATAATTAAGAACACAAGGAAACTCAACACCACAACTGAAAACTCAGAGGATTAGTATCAATAAGAGAAGATCTACAAAGACTTCGAAAACTGAAGTAATTGAACTATGTTTATGAAAACAAAAGATCAGCTTGAAGATATATGGAGGGAACAGAAAACTATAAAGGGACATACAATTGAAAAGAAAAAATGAACTTTAGAAATGAAAAATACAAAAACTGAAATTAAAAACTTAAAAGATGAGAGTTAAATGCAGGTTAGACCCAACTAAAGAAAGAACTAAAGACCTGAAAGAAAGGTTAAAAGAAAACTATAAAAATTTACCTCAAAATTTACATGGGGGCAAAAACAACGTAAGGAATACAAAAAAGTGTGTATAATATGAAAATAGAATGAAGGGTCTAAAATGTATTTGTTCAGAATCCCAGAAGGAGAGGAAAAAGATAATCAGGCAGAGGCAGTATTTGAAGCAATATGGATGATAATTTTCCAAAACTGATAAGAGAGACCTATTCACAGATTTAAGAATCCCAATGAATCCCAAGCAGGATGAGTTAAAAAAATAAAATAAAGTAAAATAAAAATAAATCTTAGACACAGTATAGTGAAACTGCACAACACCAAAGACAAAAAGAAAATCTAAAGATTAGCAGAGAAAAAGAAGTCTGTTTACATTTAAAAGAGAACAGTTAGAAATCAGATAACCTCCCAACAGCAGCAATGGAAGCCAGTATAATGTCTTCTGTGTGCTGAAAGAAAATAACAGTCAGTCTAGAAGCCTATACCCAGTTAAAATATCTTTCATTAAAATATGCCCCCAAAAGACATGGTCTGGCAAAACAGAGTTTGTCACTAGTAACCTCTGACTAAAAGGAATTCTAAAGAATGTTCTTTGTGTAGTTGGATAGTATGAGATTCAAGAAAGATGAAGAGCAAAGAAAAGTGTTCATGGGATATATGTATAAAACTAAAAGTTGACTGATAAAACAATAATAATAATAATGGCTCAAGGACTTTCAAGAAACAGTATAGAGTAAAAATGCTTGAAAAAATAGTACATGATTTGGCAAGAAAGCTAAATGCAGTTATAGTGTTCTAAAAGTCCTTGGTTTGGGAGAAGGGCAAACACATAGTTTAAACTCAGACTTTGATAAATTAAGTTTACTTGCTGAAATTTCTGGGGTAGCCAGAAAAATAACAAGTAGAGAGTAAAACTTCCAAGCTATCAGAGGCAGAGCAAAAAAATTAGAATAATTTACTTTAAATGCCCCCCAAAAGATAAGAAAGGATATGGGAAAAGAAAAACACACAACAGAGGACAAATAGAACACGTCAAGGAATGTCAGTAGTTATATGTAAATAGAGTAAATGCTTCAGTTAATAAACAAAGAGTGTCAGACAACTTTTTTAAGGAAAAATTCCAACCATATACTGAGTACAAGAGACTATATCTAAAATATAAGGATAGGGGCTTCCCTGGTGGCAGTGTGGTTGAGAATCCGCCTGCCAGCACAGGGAACACAGGTTTGATCCCTGGTCCGGGAAGATCCCACATGCTGTGGAGCAACTAAGCCCATGCACCACAACTACTGAGCCTGCGCTCTAGAGCCCACGAGGCACAACTACTGAGCCCGTGTGCTGCAACTACTGAAGCCTGTGAGCCTAAAGCCCATGCTCCACAACAAGAGAAGCCACCGCAATGAGAAGCCCACGCACCGCAAAGTAGAATAGCCCCTGCTCGCTGCAACTAGAGAAACCCTGTGAGTAGCAACAAAGACCCAACACAGCCAAAAATAAAATAAATAAAAAATAAAATAAAAGGATACAAAAAGATTAAATATAAATAAAAATGATGTATCATGAAAATATTAAAGAACATCAGTGAGACAGAGGACCACTTCACAGTGACAGAAGTTTTAATCCACCAGGAAGGTATAATGTTACAAAATATGTTTCCCCTATTAACATAGCCTCAAAAAATAGAAAGCAAAATTTCACGGAAGTAAAAGGAAAAAATTTTAATCCATAATCATAATGGGATACTTTAGCCTGCTTCTCTCAATAACTGAGAGGACTATTAGACAAAACAAAAAACAAAACAGCAGTAATACGATAGAATATTTGAACAACCCATTTAACAAATTTGACCTAATATTCATGGACTGGAAGAGTAAATATTTTAAATATGACATTCTTCCCAATATAGATCCAATGCAACCGTAATTCAAATTCTAACAAGATTGTATATTTGCGTGTGCTGGGGGAAGGAAGGTCTTGACAAGTTGATGCTATGATTTACATGGAAATATAAAGAACCTAGAAGAGCCAAGACTTTCTTTTATTTTTCAACTTTTTTTTTTTTGCGGTATGCGGGCCTCTCACTGTTGTGGCCTCTCCCGTTGCGAGCACAGGCTCCGGACGCGCAGGCTCAGCGGCCATGGCTCACGGGCCCAGCCGCTCTGCGGCATGTGGGATCCTCCCGGACCGGAGCACGAGCCCGTGTCCCCTGCATGGGCAGGCAGACTCTCAACTACTGCACCACCAGGGAAGTCCAAGCCAAGACTTTCTTGAAGAAGAAGCCTGGGAGGGAGGGGAACACGCTCTATTAGATACTGAGATTTATTACAAAATATAGTAATTAAGACAGTGTAGTGTTGGGGCAGGATAAACAAATAAATCCATGATACAGAATAGTTCAGAATCGGATTTATGCACACACAGACTTCTGATCTATGCCAGCAGTGGCACTGCACAGTAATGGAGAAAGGAAAATCTTTCCAATACATACTGCTGGGACAATCGGATATCCATATTTTTTAATGAAATTGGAATCATACCTCACATCATATAAAAATCAGTTCCAGTGGATTAAAGACCTAAATGTGAAATGCAAAACTACAATGATTTTTTTTTTTAAATAGGAGACTAGCTTTATTA